GTATCTCGGACAAGCAGCGGCTGGGCTGGCGGTAACCAAGGAGAAACGGGAGAATCTTGTCATTGAACTCAATCAGGCTTTGGACCACATTTCCGAATGGGGTACCAGGAACTTGGTTGAGTTCAATGCCAAGAAAACTCAGGCTTGCGCTTTCACGGCAAAAACATCGTCATTCCTTCCCCTTCCATCTCTTCAGGGCACAACACTACCGCTACAGAGCAACATTTCCATGCTCGGTATGGAGGTTCGCTCAGACCTGAATCCAAAGAACTACATCGAAACCGTGATCAAAACAGCTTCACGCAAACTCGGGAGTCCTGAACAAGGTGCCGCGTTTTTTCACGCCCGATCAACTGTGCTTGTTGTACAAAACGCAAGTGCGGTCCTGCGTGGAATATTGCCCGCACCTCTGGGATGGCTCCACTAAGTACTTGCTCGATGCTTTGGATAGGTTACAGCGACGCGCGATCCGCATCATAGGCGATGAGGAGGTGACTAAACACCTTGAGCCTCTTCAATTACGCCGTGACGTGGCGTCACTAAGCGCGTTCTATCGTCTGTACCACGGCGAGTGTTCTGAGGAGTTATTCTCTCTTATCCCACCTTCTCCTTTCCTTCAGAGGACCACGCGCGCTGGCCTACGTTGTCATCGTCTAACTGTGGCCACAATTCCAACGCGTACAAAGAAATTTGGTGACTCATTTCTTTGTCGCACTATCCGTAAATGGAATGCTCTGCCCGCTCACGTGTTCCCTCCCTCTTACAATCTGGGATCCTTTAAAAGAGGCGTGAAGAAGCAACATGCAGGCCGGCAGGGTGAGGATGGCTGGTGTGGCAGGTAAAACTGCTGTATCAGCTATCGTCACGTCTGGACTTCACCTTCACTTAACATCAGGTGGGGTGGAGTCATTTATCGAGATCTGCAGGAGCTTTGCAACAAAAATATCATACCAAACAGATACCATCATGAATATTTAAGTATGAGGTATGATGGAACCATACGTGATGCGTTAGATGAAACGGACGAAGATGATTCGGATAAGGAGAATTAAAAATCTTTTACTTTTATTTTATTTTCTAGATCTCATTATTCCAAATGATTAATATGAAAAAATATTTTTCAATTATAATATGGCAATTTCATTTAAGAACCTTATAAAATACCTATTAGTATTAATTAATCGCATATAGTTTTTAGAACATAGCAATTTTAATAGACATTTTTATCGTAAACGCCAAAATAGCCTTAGATTATGACAGCAAAGATAATGTAAGCGCCATAAATAGCATAAATACTTATTATTTTTGTTTCTTCTTCAATTATATATGTAAATGTCTAAAAAATATTATTGTATGTAAAAATAAAAATTACTAACACACTTCTGTGTAAAGATATTTAATAAAAACCTTCTCCTGTAAAATTTGGTTTTTGTCGGTTGCGCTAAAATGGCGGTAAGGGCTCGATATATTTGATTACATAATGTTAACAATGTTTTAGTTTGGGAGATTTAAAAAGTAGGGAAATTGATGATTTACTCGACAACCCTCAAATCACGCACACGCTGTATGCGGGCGGCCATTTGCATGCTTCACTCGAGATAAGACGAGGTTACGTCCGTCTTTTTTTCAGGTCCGTGGGTTTCACCACCATTTTTTAGCTTACAGAGTATGGTCGCTAAAATTCACAAGGAGTTTAATATAAAGAAGACAAAAGCGTTTAAAATAAGCTGCTGTTGCGCATTTGTAAGTAAAATCATCATTTTTGAAAGTTACTTAAATTACCTAATTTTGGTAAGTTTCACGAAACTTACCGGTAAGTTGTTACCTCGAAACTTTCGGTAATTTTCAACTCTAGCGTCGTCCTAATTGGCAACGATCTAGCGATGGCGCGATGCGATCTCATCGTGCGATGGAAATAATGTACCTGTGCTCGTGCGACTGGTTACGAGCTCTATTAGGACACCTCTGAAGAAATCTGAAGCTTTACTCTCTTTCTCCGAAACGAAATTTCGGTAACGAACGAATTTTAAACGAAATATCGCCATTGACTCGAACAGGCACATTAACTTCGGAACCATACAATTTTCATGATCTCTACTTTTAAGGAAACGTTTTTTTACTTGGAAACAATATAGGTAGTTTAGGGCAAATTTTTTGATGACATTGAAAGAACCTTATGTGACAATGTGTAATGTACTGTATGTCAACCTAAATTTGTCGTTTAATACTTTGAAGTATGGATATTACAATAAATAATTAAAAAATGGTTTATTTGTTAATTTTACATGCTAAAAATGTTTCTCGAGCTAAGCAGCTATTGTTAAAAATACTCTTGCAAGTATTTTAGGCTTAATTAAAACAAAAATCTCAAAACGAAAATGAAAAGGTAACAAACACTTTTCATTTCGTCAATTTGAGGTTAAAATTTCGAACAATTATCTGTCAAAGGACAATGTTAAAATTGGCCTAAGAACCAACACCAATTTGGCATTTATGATAATTCTTAGTATATTTTTTGCGATAATTATCAGTATTTAGATTGTAACGGACACTTCCAGTTAAGTAAGCTAAATTAAAAAGTTAAAAAATAATATGAGACAATAATACCATTTTATGTGTATAATCTATGGCAGCGCTGCAAACAAAACACTCTTTCTTCCTAATGCCGGCACTTAACTTGGCTATTCGTATTTGCTATTTTAAAACATGACATCAGTCTGTCCTTTTCATTCCTTATTAAGCATGACAAGGACAAACTGTTGTCAAGTGAAGGGCCGGCATAAAACTCGTTACTCTGTGGCTGTGGTGCATGCATTTTGCATTCGTAGTAATCTGTGGCATTCGTGCATTCCAAAGAGTAGTATAAAAAACCGGAAACTGCATTCTCGTTTCGGATTGTGTGTTTATTTGTGATTGTTTTTCCTTTAATTTAACTATTTCGGCTATCTAATATGCCATCGATGTTACCAAAGGGCAGAACCCTTATTACCAAGTGCTAGTTAACCTGTGCCACAACATCCTGAGAGGATCATACTGCCAAATTATTCAAGAACAACTGATACACATTCACGCTGCATATTTACAAAATATACCTACATGTGATATACAAATAAATACAATAAACAATATGATACAAATATGTGAAAAATAGTCAATAAATAAGAAGCAAAACTACAGTTTTTTATTTTATTGATGATTCCTACCTAACCAAGTTTACCTACCTTACCTAATAGTTATTCTTTAAAATCGCACCGAATAAAATGAATTAGTTGTAATATTAATTCACTTCATACTGAGTTTATACTAAATTCATAGGCTGACCTATGTTTCATTGAATATTAAACGTAACCTCAAAAAAATTTTAGTTTTCCTAATAATTTAGGTTCTCAGAAGTGTCCGTCAATAATCTTTGTTTTTACAGTCATTTACTTACGATTTTGAACCTAGAAAATAATATTTCATGATTGTTGGTTCTTAGGCTAACTATGTATGGACGCTGAACAATGTCCTTTAACTTTTCCTTCGAATGTTTTGTGAATTAGAGTAGGCTTGGAGAATCTAATTGTCAAACTATTTCGGACGAACGAATTTTCGAAATGAAAAGGAAACAGTAAGAAACATGCGAAATTCCTACGAAATTTCTTTTTTCGTCGAAATAGCTACTCTATTTTCGTTGAAATAGCCTCCTGTATGTTTGACTATCATCGCATCATAAAACGCATCGTGTCATCGTACGATCGTTGCCAATAGGCTAGTTTACTCATGTCGAATTGTATTAAATAAATGTTTATTTCTTAAAGTATTTGGTCTAAGGAACCTAAATATATCGATTTCACTTCATAAAAGCAGAAGATTGCTGTAGAAATTTAATTTTAAAAAATAAATTTTAGTCTATATTTTTCAAACACTAAAAACGCTGTTCGCCACATCCGCTATGATTTTGACGTCTCTTGTGGTAAACAATTAAATGTCATTCGCGTGTTACTGTAGGTGGATTCTTTCGTCTGACTAAATTTATCTTAAAACACTTTTAACTTTAGGAAAGAAAAAAACAGTAAACTTAGTTTTTTTTGACAAAACTAATTATGGATGCCGGTTTTGTGAAAGCAGAAAGCACAAATCTGCCAAGAATTGACGCATTGATGGTTGGTGAATTTGTTGCACTAAACCCCGATTTCTGCTCTGCGGAGCAGAGAAACGACAAGGCATCTATGTAAGTACAGTGCATTTAGTATTACAGTGTAGTAATAAACATAAAACTGATACAACATATGAATAAGCGTAATAAAGTTGCGTAGGTTAATTTCTTTCGGCACTTTAATCCACAACTTTCCTGGAGTCTTCAAGGATGTGTTTTTATATTCTCGTACAATACAGTAATGATAATTACTTTATTTTTCGTTGTATTTATTAGAAATCATGTTTTTTTTTATTATAAACTCAGTTTTAAGTAATTTTCTACGTGTTTACGAGTTTTTGTTTACCAGAGTTCACGTCATAGCATAGATAATCTATAGACTAAAATGGCCGACAGCGTTTTTGTATGTCCATGAAAAGTCTATTTTAAAATTAAAGATTTATAGCTTTCTAGGTTTAAAAAAAATACAATACATTTTTTTTCGGTCTAATAGAACATTTATTAACCATTTAAAACCTTTTCCCAAAAAGGGTCAACTAGCCTATTAGGACAACGCCTAAGGCTTGCGTTATGGGTTACTAGGGTAACGGCTTTGATTAAAATAATCAAATACATAATTTACATCCAACGACTTAGGTACAAATGGTCTTATTCATCACACAAACATTTTCCCCACCGGGATTCGAACCCGGATTCTCTGAGTAGGCGACAACTTGAAACCCGGCCACTCCACGTTTGGATAGGCGTTAATTTCCGATAGTAGTACATCACTATTTAAGAAATGTAATAAACTGACAACACACGTAATGTTTATTTTGTCTCTGAGAATAAAAAACAAATTAAATTATAATTTTGTCTCCAGATGGTATTGACGGCAAACAAGCCAGACGCACACAGACTTCTGGCCCGCTCGGGGAGTTATTCGACCACGGCCTGGATTCATACTCGGTTTTCTTTATTCCTGCGTGCCTTTATTCCATATTTGGCAGAGAAGACTTCTCCATTCCGCCTATTAGGTAAGTTTAGCACTGTTAGGTATTATGTGCGCGGTTGTATACATCCCGGCAAACTCTTGAGCAACGACCATAAACAAGGAAGCCTGCGCAGTAGCAATTTTACATACAAAAACGTCTACTGCGCAAGTTTATTTGTCTGTGCTTTTGCTCAAGAAGTTTGCCGCGACTTTTACCTACTATACTCAATTTGATGATGCTTCCGTGGATATGATTGGAATAGATTATTTGACAGTATGAGAAATAAAGTACGAATTCTTGCCATTTCGGTCGGTCTGCCAATAACCACTGTTTTTATGGCCGGAAAAAAATCCGGCCGTTAATCCTCTTATTATTGGAGTTCTCTACTTGTACATCCAGGGTTCATTGTATTAAATCATCCTAAATAGTTTCTCTACAAATTTATCTATATTTAATGTGTAAGTTAAAAACCAATACTAAATATTATAAAACGCAAAATATGAAAACTGAAAATAATTTTCTCAACTCGTGGCAGAAATCATCCACTTACAAAAACGAGGGGTTTAAAGCAGTGCATGACCAGCATCGGCACGTTTCACTTGTGCACAGCACAACCCATAATTAACATATAGTTTGACGTTTAAATAACAGTCGTGTGACGTCACATACCAGTGAGACGCCATAATGTCCAAAAAAACGTTTTGGCGGCAACTTGAAAATGACATTTTTGATTTAGTTTTTTACTAAAATACGCAACAAACTATGAATAGCTACTTTTTAAAGACTCCATAAACATTAGTAAATGAAGTGAGATCGTTTAAAAACTTGTCAACGACCCTACTGCTGCCTATTATTATTAGGTATGGACTATTTATATGAGGCCAAAGCGGAGACAATCCACTGAGCCAATCCAATAAAAAAATAACATCAGCTGATAGTAGATCTACTCGATATACAGATTATATGCTTTCGATAAGCAAAACTAGTCTAACTAAGTCATATACGTTTTGTTTCGAGGCTTATACTTTAGATTGCAGACTGCTAAATTCTGAGGCTTCTCACACATAAAATCAGTTTTGATTGCAATATTCAGCCAAAAGTAGAGTTGTATAAGGATGTTGGAGCAAAAAAGTTTTTAAAGTCAAAAAGAGATAGAATGACAAAGCTCATACATGATTAGCGTTTAAATTAGATTAAAGAAATTTAGTGTCAGAATTTAGATCTGTTGACTGTAAGCTTATGTTTAAATGTAACTGGTAGCTGTTTGCAACAAACGCTAAGAGATTTCTTGTTCCAGGATATATTTTGTTATGTGGAATCTTCTTCTCAACTTTTATATCAGCCATTGGGAGAAGTACAATACTGGTGTTCTGTTCCTGCCGTGGGGTTATGACTTCAGTATGTGGGTCAGTATGCCATTTTCCAATTTATTTGAAACTATACGGCGTTAATAACAGTTGTCTTTTAATCTCATATAATGTCCTACACTACAATTTATAAAAAATGCTATGAAACTTCAATTTTATAAAATGTGGGGGAACTTTAATAACTTATATTAAGTCCTTTAATTATAAATATAATGGAAATATCATCCACCTTGACCTTAAAGTCTCGCCTGCGTTTAAATCATATTCCAATCAAAAGAAATAGAAACGAAATCCCGTAAAAGGCTTTTTTTCCCATATCTCAAACTTTATGTTTTCAAGTGATTATCTGTTTATTATAAAACTACAACACTGTTTTAGGCTTCCACGTTCTGTTTTCTGTGGACGGGCATGAAAGGGACTGCCTTCTACAAGCAGTACATATTCGGTGGATACACGCTGGCCAATGTTTTCGAGTTTCTTATTTACGGTACTGGGGTATTCACCAATCTGCCAGTGGCTATTTACAATATATACAGGTAAGTCAGATGCAAGTTTAAGAGGCATATCTAAGCTCCCGTTAATCTCTGTTTTATATAAAAATTACCTACCCCTATTATAATCATCTTCAGCCTATTAATGTCCCCACTGGTGGGGCACAGGCCTTCCCTATAGATGGAATAGGGGGATTGGGCCATGACCGACCCATGCGGGCCCAGTGCGGATTGGCGGCTTAACGTGCCTTCCGAAGCACGGAGGAACTCGAGATAGAAGATTTTGGTCACCCATCCAATGACCGACCACTGCGAAAGTTGCTTAACTTCCACGCGCTAACCACCCGCGCTATCCAGCTCCGTATTGTAATAACTAATAGATATTGGTGTGAAGTAGAGTCGCGCCATAACTTAACGACTTTACCGAATCCGTCCATCTTTTTATTTTAAGTTTTCTAATATTTAATATTTGGTTAAAGATTAAGATGCCAAACCCGCCAGAGCTTACTTATTTTCTCACTAGCGGACGCACACACATGGCCACGGAGATCGTCAATAGAACACGGCTTCTTGTCTGAGTGTATTCCTCCGTTCATGAATAAGGGGGTTAGTGTATGAAAAGTCAATTTCTTCGCAGGTCATACAAATTAAAGACTGGCAAGATGCGTTCCCCGCTAGAAGCGCTGAGACCACTCTGGTCGTTCCTGACTGTGTTCGTAGTGTGTACGGTATGGGTTCAGAAATCAACCCGGCTGCCCGATTATGACTTGAGAGCTCTATTCCTACTCATCGGGACAGTGTTCAGTAATGTGGCTGTAAGTATTTGAAGGCATGATGTCGCTTTTTTAATTTCGGTTTTTTGTCATGAAGTAAGGTGTTATAGTTATATTTTTTAATGATGAAACTGCTAGATGTTTAGATGTAAAGAAAATTTAACTAGAAAAAAATCTACGCGATCCAGAGGCAGCAGACGGGACTCGAATCCGCACCCTTCGCTATCCGATGCTACCGCGGCCCTGATGGCCGTGTCTAATTTTCCCTAGCCTTTCTTAAGCTGCAAGGTGTTATGTCAATTCAGAAGTCGTGGCACCTTTAGTACCACTAGCACAAACCATTATCGAATTCGAATAGTTTGCGAGTGCGCAATGTCAATATCAAATTTTGTATGGAAACTTGAACAGCAGCGCCGCAGTGTATCTAACGACAACTAAAAATCAGTACACATTTGACATTTCGGACTCGCAAACGTTACGAATTCGATATTAGTACAGATTGCATATTTATATGCGTTAACAGTAAAAGAAAATTTAGAAATTCAGTGCTGTGCGTACATACCCTTTGTACACACAACACTGAAATTATTAGTAAGGGCACTTAACACTAGACTTCAATGGTCAAAACACAAAATCGTGTAATGAAAGAAATTAATCCATGACCTCAAATTTGATACATCCATTTTTTTTATAAAATTTAAGAAAGGGTATCTTGTAGCTACAGCATGATATCAATAGAGAAGAAAGATAACATTAAACATTAACTGAAAACGTGTGAAGCCACAATATCGATAATTTTACGAAAAAAAAAACTAAAAAAACTTTTATAATTTTAAGTATTTCATTTCAATAAAAACGTTCATGCACTATGGTGTACAGTTTTTTTTTATATAAAGTACCCCCATAAATATAATATTTTTTCTAACAACATAATATACTTAAATGAAGACATAATTACTGTGTTCACATGTGTGCGAATCTCTATGATTTTGTATTGCGTTAGTCGCTCGGAAACCCGGAAACCAAAGTCATTAGTATCGAAGATTTTCAAAAACTAAAAGGGAAGATAAGATATGATCATACTTGTATCAAATAAGATATTGTTACGTGTCGGGATGGGGTTCGAAATTATATGCCAGTTCATGCTTGACAGTTCTTTATTCACCACACAGTTGACACAATTAACACACAATGTTAATTACAAAACACTCAATAAACACTGTATTTCACTATACAAGTCTCTAAACAATCTCACTTGAACACTTTTGTTGCCTTTGGATTCGCTCCGAAATCGCTTTTGAAACTCAACTGTCTCTGCGCGGCGCCAATCGCGCTTATATACGCCGATCTACGCATTCTAGAAAGTACCTGCTAAATTGAGAATTAGCTAGCAGCCGCGAGTACTTATACCTACGCAGGTAACGCGCATAACTTGTAAACAAGTGCAGATGTCGTTGCACTTTCTCCCTTACGCCACACTGCATAAGGCTCATTTTAGAATGAGCGGCATTACTCGACCTCTATCGCGACCCGCGGTGCTCTGGCACATTCGATCTCTAGCACTTTCGCGGTTCTGTTTCGAGAGCGTTTGTGACAATATGATCCGACTTAAGTACATAAGCAACTCACACACTGTATATCGAGCGAGAGAGACAGAACTGTACCCCTAGCAGGAACCAATATCGAATTCGAATAGTTTGCGAGACCGGAATGTCATTGTCAAATTTTGTATGGAAACCTGAACAGCAACGCCACAACGGACGTAACTAGAACTAAAAATCAGTACAAATTTGACAATGACATTTCGGACTCGCAAACTATTCGAATTCGATATTGGTTCGTGCTAGAGGTACAGTTCTGTCTCTCTCGCTTAATCGAAACGACGAGTCCGCTTCCGAGTCCGTACGGCTGAGATGTATTGTTGGCCTTTTCTTGATAACAAAGTAGCGATTACGTAAAGAACATTTTACTAAAAACCGTCGTTATATTGAGTGCACATGCAGTGTGTTTCAATATCCAAATCCAATAGGGTATTTGACAGTATTAAAAATAAAGTGCCAATTGTTAGCATCTCTATTTAGAATGAATATTGGAAGGAGTTTTTACTATTTTTACGAAAAAAATATTCTTAATTTCACTAAATACCTACGATAAAGATAATAGTTTTCTTGTCTTTTGTCACGTGACCCAAAACGCTTGGGATTGGTGGAGTCTAAAATGACGTCATACGCATGTAAACTTCCGGTTAAATTGACATTAGATTGTAGGGTTTGACGTTTTAATGACAGTCGTGTGACGTCACACACCAGTGAGACGCCATATTGTCCAGAGATACGTTTTTCGCGGCAACTTGAAAATAGAGTTTTTGATTTAGTTTTTTTTATCGAAATACACAACATAATGATGAATATTCACTTTTATGAACTCTATAAACATTAGTTAGTAACGTGAGATCGTTTTCTAAAATTTGTCAAATACCCTATTACGACTAAAGCGAATCATGGTCCTGCATCACAATTTAAGTGGATCACTTTTGAGCCGCGAGTGTCATCGTATCTTCCCTTTTTGTTTTAATCTAAGGGCTAGGCAAATCGTTGAGTGTGGTCGAAATAGTTATTTATTTCTATTTTTTCTTCTTGTTCATAGTGTCGTCTCATAGTCAGTCAGATGAGTAACCAGAGATGTGAAGCGGTCTCGTGGCTTCTTTGGCCTTTGACCTTCGCCGCGTCTTTGTCACTCCTGTTTCCGCAATACGAAGTGGCTGCCTTCTATTTCGTCACTGTTCTATCGGTGCTGGCGCATTTACACTACGGATCGTGTGTGGTAAGTATTAAATTTTTTATCCTATCAATTTTCCTGTTGCTAGAGAACAAGGTGACGATTCCATAGAGGCATAAGATATAGACGCTACTACAAGTGGAAGTGTCCCACTAATAAAAAGAAAAGGAAGATGAGAGACCGCTCGCTTTTCTCTCTAATCGCGCATGCGCATTGGCAACCGTAAGCATCTTACTATTTCGATGCGATGCTATTGGAGAGAGTTAGCTAGCGGTCTCTCATCTTCTGTCTCTTTCTATTAAACGGACACTTTTAGAGACGTCTTCCCCACTCTATTCTTATACCTCTATGGTCGTTTCTCCTTTACTATAAATATTAAACCTTATTACAAAATGTCGACTAAAAGTTATACTGTCATCTTCGTTTGCTGACGAGAAGACAAAGACAGCATTCGGTCTCAAATAGAAAGCAGCCATTGCTATTGATTGTGATAATACATGTCGGGAATCAATTCTACTTGAAACTGCTTTGAAAATGTCTGTAAATGTAAATCAAGAAGTGCTTGAAAACCACTTAAGCACTTCTTGGTTCAAGTCACACGCGGACCATTGAAAAGTCAACATGCCGCAGAGCTCCGTGAAAAAAATAACTAAAAAAAAAGGCTTATAGTACGCAGTGTCGTTTTTCGACAGGTTCCTAATCAATGTTTATTAATTTAACGCATTTGGAGCAAATTTTGTTCTAGTACTCAATCAAAATTCTTGTACTGAGAAGAACCGACAATAAACTCAGCAAGGGCTGTTTTTTTCTCCCTGTATTGTTATATACAGAGTCGTCAAGTTGAAAAATAACTTCAGAGATACTTCTGAAGTCACCTACCATTACATCATTTAGAATATAAATATATAGTTACACTAAATTTTGTAGTTAACTTTATATTAAGTATATAGGAAGCGGCATTAGATAGGTACCATATTACTGTTATGAAAAATGACTAATACCCATCAAATAACAAATTACAAGAAACACTATGTCCATACTTACTGATTTAATAGAAAATATTTGGTGATATTCAATTGCATGGTCGGTTATATAGCCGTCTCTTTTTCTCACGCTCCGTACTTGCATCAATATTGCTAAAAGCGCATTCAGAATTACGCATAAAGTCAAAGAAATAAAGTCTATATTCTTCTGCCTATATTCTGCCTTATATTGACAAGTCATAAAATTTTACGAACTTGTATTTAAATTACTTTTTGCCTTCTGGGCACGCCCAAAGAAACCCTTGATGGGTATAATGAACCCCCTCTTCACCTACGGCAGGTGAAATAGTATACCTACCATTAATAAGGACTTTGCTACTATACCGTAAGCCTGCAGAACGCTGGCTCTAAGTCTATAGGTTTAGGGTATTAAATTTCGTTGAAATACACTTCTGGACACATCTATTGGCCCACCTTGTATTTTCAGTTTCGTTTGGTCCTAGCTAAAATTTTATTTCATTCAATAGTCTTTTTTTTGAATTTCGAACACAGAATTTAAAGAAACAAAAGACAATTTGGAGCCTGTTTGTTGATATCAAACAATCGAATACTAAGAAAACTTGGTTTTATTGGTTTACTTGGATTTAATTCTTGAAAAAGTGATTGATATCTTTGGTTTTGCAACAAACATTACTTAATCTTAACATTAAGGTGAGGTTCTATCAATAATCTATGGATACTTCACCTGAAGTCGCCGCCCAAGCTGTGGCACTTATTCAGGCCGGACACAGCCAAAGAAACGTGAGTGCTCAACTTAATTTAAGTCGATCTGCGGTCCGAAATGTTTATCAGAGGTACCTAGAGACTGGCGGCTTTGTTCGTCGCCAAGGAAGGCCACGATCTCGGGTCACAACTGAAAGGCAGGATCGATTCATCGTGACGACCAGCTAGAGAAATCATCACCTTACCTCCATTGAGATAAAAAACAAATTCGCGACTTCCACGGAGTATCTGTGAGCGATCGAACTGTTCGGAGAAGGTTAAAAAAACGCGATATGGTACCACACAAGCCAGCTAATGGGCCCAAACTAACGCGAGCCCACCGAACAGCGCGCCTTCATTTCGCAAGCAGTCATTTAAATTGGACACAGCAAGATTGGAGCCGTGTACTCTTTTCTGATGAGTCTAAAATTGTGTTACATGGCAATGATGGAAGGAAGAAGGTCTACCGACGTAAGGGAGAGCGTTTCGCACAATGCTGCTTTGAAGAGAGGGTTGCTTATGGCGGTGGCTCATGGACTATCTGGGGCGGTATATCCACGAGCGGCAAAACTTAATTTGAGGTTGTTACAGGACCACGGCTGTCAACATTAAATGCTGAAAGGTACATTCGTGAGTGCTTAGAACCTCACGTGATACCAAACGCGCACTATGTGGGCCCAAATTTCCTTTTTATGCATGATTATGCAAGAACCCATGCGGCCGGCATCGTCAGGGAATATCTTCGGGATGTGAACATCACAGTTATGGACTGGCCAGCCAGAAGCCCAGACATGAACCCCATTGAGCACATGTGGGACGAGCTAAAAAGACGTGTTTGGGCTCGTCAGCCAGTTGCCCAGACGATGCAGGAGTTGAAAACTGCCAGAGAAGAGGAATGGGAGATGATCCCTCAAAATTTCATAGAGCGGTTGATAAACTCTACGCCTAATCGTATGAGAGCTGTGGTAGATGCCCATGGAGGCAACACGCGTTATTAAATTAAACCTTTATTTGATAAAACGTGTTTTTTATTCAAAAATCAATTGCCTTTAACAAGGCGCATATCCGACTTGTTAGGCGTAGCTCCATGTCGTATGGTATTCTGAATTCAAATTTAAAACAATACGATCGAAAAAGATGGTAAAATGTATCAGGTTTAAAACTGCATCAACAGTTTTTGTTCAATCTAGCAATCATATTTCGGTAGGGGCCATCGAAACCTAAACTCTAAGGTGGGCCAATAGATGTGTCCAGAAGTGTACTATTATAATATTTCGCATACCCATAGAAATCCATATAAAGAATATCAACCGTACGATTAGGGTATTTGACAAGTTTTGGAAAACGATCTCGCGTTACTTACTAATGTTTATGGAGTCCATAAAAAGTGGATATTCATCATATTTCATTAAAAATAACTAAATCAAAAACTCAATTTTCATATTGCCGCGAGAACGTTTCTTTTCGTACTGGTGTGTGACGTCATACTTATGTCATTAAAACGTCAAACGCTACAATGGAATGTCACTTTGACCGGAAGTTTACTAGTGTGTGACGTCATTTTAGGCTCCGCCAATCCCAGGCATTTTCAATTACGTGACAATAGATATGAAAACTATTTATTATATTATCTTTTTCGTGGGTTTTTAGTAAAATTATGAATATTTTTTCTGTAATATAAACCCCTGCCAATATTCATTTTAAATACAGTTTCTAACAATTAGCACTTTATTTTTAATACTGTCAAATACCCTATTGAGATGGTGCTGGTCAGGTGCCAGGTCAGTCTAATGATCTGTGACTTTAAGTTTAAAAGAAGCCTAACTTTAGCCTCATTCTGTAATAAGGCGGTTCTAAGAAAGAGCAAACTTAGATAGCGTATTTTTAGTTGTTATTTTTCTCCTAGTCCAGCGTGGAAAGGATATTATAATATAATCCCTTATTCAGGGTTCTGGGTTCAAATCCCGATGCGGCAAATGTTTCTATGATGAAAACAAGAATTTGTACGTAAGCTATGACTATCAATTAATATGATTATCTTTATATCGTGTATTTCTGCCCTTTTACCCCAGTCCCCATAACATAAGCCTTCAGTGACTACACTGTATGAAACAAAACAGGGAGAAAAAAATAGCCCTTGCGGAGTTTCTTGCCGGTTCTTCTCAGTACAAGGTCTTCCGCCGTATATTGTCGAACGGATGGCGTAGCGTTTTGACTTTCACAAGAGCTTGTAACTAAATTGTGAATAAATGAGTTGAGTTTTGAATTTTGAGTGCTTACTTTGGGACTAGGCTAATTAGTGTTTTAGAAATATTTATATGTACATGTTTATTTATTCCTCAGGTAAGACAGATGTGCGACCACTTCAGAATACGTTGTTTCCTAATAAAGCAACGTTCAGATTGACTCCTTGATGACAGTGCGTGCTAGATTACAAGTGACATTGTATAAGGCAACATTATGTACGACAGACATATCCACACAAGCACCAGTAGTAGGGCTTATTTACACCCTTACTTGTACTCAGAGTCATCAAGTTTTTTTGGGTTTCATTAAAGTAGTTGCGAATTTTTATTGCGGAAATAATAGTAAAAATATGAAATTTAGCATCTAAAAATTATTTAAAATGCTGAAGTGCGATAAATCCATAATAATTTCATGCTAGGACAAAAATATATGCTAAAGAAATTGCCCCGTCTTTTCTTTAATGCACTTGTGCCTTTTTTTTATATTCAATAAGATTCAATATATTACACTGATTTTATAGGTACTCGTTTTAACTCTACTATGATTGTTAATTTTAATAGATTTATAAAATATTTAAATCTTACGCCGCGTACGATCCTCCCCGGTGTGAATGAGCCCTTAAATACACTTTCTCTGTAAGAGGTTAATGTATTAAACACTATTCGTGATTATAGCAACTTGTAATATCGTGATGAAAAGTGTAAACAAAAAATATTACTGATGAATATTCCTTTATAGTCCAAAAATTTAAGTTTTAATCTTTTTAGTTTAAACCCACATAGGGTTTAAACTTTGACACTATTGAAACTTTATAAAAGCTTTCATCGAGTTATTGCCATATAAAAACAAGTAGACTCACCATCGCGCTTAAAAAAGTGGCGGTAGCAAAATTACGCACATTTCTCTGTTGTGCGTAATTTTCAAACAGTCGTGTTTGAAATGTTTTGCTCATATAGACTTGACATTGAACCTTACTGCCACGACATGACGTGTAAATTTGAACATGTTTTTTGCCTTACGCATCTTTCTACCACCAGGGGAGCGAGAAGGTATGTGGGACTCCTACCTGCTCATTTCAGCCAGCCCTAGCGCCAAATGAAATGAACAGGGCCGCTAAAAACCCGACAATCCTCAGTCCTCCTAATGCGCATCGTGAGTAGGGTTACCATCCGTCCGGATAAGTCCGGATTTTTTAAATTACGTTGAATATGAATAAAAGTACATATTGATTTAAATACCATACATTTTAACTGAGTAATGGTACCATTTTGTGACTAAAAAGTCCGGACTTTTCTCGAAATGTCAGGATGTTTCTGAGGACTTATGAAATTCCTAAAAGGTGACCCTAGTCGGGGGTACGGATGTGGTGGTGGCACCCTATTTCCAAGTGGCCACGCACCCGCCGGTGGTGTTAATTTGTAAAAATAATGTGTTAATGTTATCTGTTTAAGTTGACGTAGAACGCCGCTCGGGCGTTTTTTGATGCACTTTATACGTCAATGCGTCGAGTACATAAATATGCATTGTAAGTTTTTTTTATTGAAAATTAAACAACCTGTAAGGCGTTGTCCTAATTGGCTACAATCATACGATGACACGATGCGTTCTGGTCGTGCGATGATTTTCAAACATACAGATATCTTTAGAGGTGTCCTACAGCTCTTAATCCGCCGCACAAGCATAGGTACATTATTTTCATCGCACAATGAGATCGCATCGCGCCATCGCACTGTCGTTGCCAATTAGGAAGACGCCTAAGTCCAAAAGTGGGGGTTAAACATTTTTTTTAAACGCTCGTTTACACTTTCCATCACGGTATACGAACGTTATATTCTAAAGTATCATGGCCTTTTATAAGTACATAATTAAGTTGTTAAATGTTATGTTGTATGTAACAAATAAAGATTGTGCATTTAAATTGATAAAAAGGATTATAGTAATTCGAAATGTAAATCTAAAATAAATGTTAATCAGGCATATCAGGGCACTCATATGTGACAAGGTTTTTCAATCTATTTTGAACATTATACATATTACATGTTAAGGTTGAAAATTGATTTGAAGAACCATGATGGTTGTGCATAACCTGATTCACTTACGTAATTATTAATAATGACGTCATTCACAAAGTATCTTAGCTGAATTTCAATTAACTTCTAATTCACATTATTCAACTTTAAACAGCTGAAATTTAAACTTTGGTTTCATTCATTTATTGTACAATTCTTTATTTTCAAGGGTTTATAGCGCGCATTGTCTATTTTTTTAATTTATATTTTTATTTATTAAACTTATATTTAAAATAATGTTTAGACGTATATTATATTGTAAATACATTTATGTTAAGTGCATACTTTACTTTCGGTTAGTTATAATTGTATTAACTTTTCTTGTATAAGTTTTACTTGATCTTACTAATCTGACTATCGTTTGTTCAAAGACTGGATTTGTGTGACGCCTGGCAGTCGATTCGTATCAGTTTGATTTCTTAATTTAATATAACCAATCTAATGCATACATACAAACAAAATAATGATTACATACCTGTTTTACATACATTCACGCCACAGGTCCTAGAGTCTAGTACGTAATGCCGACACTTCATTTGGCTATTCGTGTATGCTATTTGTAAACTTGTCATCAGTCCTAGTTTCTATTCATTCCTTATAAAGCATGATAAGGGCAGACTTGTCAGTTTCGCAAATATCAAATAGCCAAGTCTAATGACGGCATAACACTATTAGCATCAACTTAACGTAAATGGTGCCATTTGAAACCCATTTTTATTGGTTAACTAGACCTTAAGCTGGCCATCGGGTGCGACAAACCAATTAAAATCCAGTTTATATGAATGAATATTAAGTGCGTTCATTACGCGTTCATTTTAATCAATAAAAGAATATATACATTCGCGTCGAATATATAACCTCCTCCTTTTTTGTGCGAAATCGCGTAAAAAATGGGTTAAAGTGGCAAAATTAAACTTGAGTTACTGCTAATATTAAACTCGTGATTTTACAAGGCGATTGGTCCTACTCTCCACTTCTCTAATGCTAAAATAATCTAGCGTATGTATAAAAATATTAATAATACTCAACTTGTCAAACTTCACACTTCAATTACATTCTAATTGACAAGTCATCAATATACAATGTCAACATATTTGTTGTTGTTCGTAAGTTGAAATTCAAACTATAAGATTGATTAAATAAAACTAGTTTTTACGGGTTAATGCACGAAAACTTTATTTATTTATTGACGTTTCGTAGCCTTTTATTGATAAAAGTTTTATTCTGACGACGTAGCCTGTAAAGGTTACGAAAGTTTTATTTAATGAGTGATGTGCGTGAAAACCTAAGAAACAAATATATAAGATTGATTTCTCGATCATAGACCAAATAAAATCATTTTTGACAGGTTTTTATATAGATAGCGGCAAACATCTTGAGCAAAACCACACTAACTTGCGTAATAGGCGTTTTTGTATGTGAAGATGCTACTGCGCAAGCTTCCTTGTCTATGGTCAATACTTAAGAAGTTTACCGCGTATACAAATCTACTGTTTGTGTTTTTATGAGATGATTATGGTTCAGTATTTATTTTTAGTTATAGCTTTCGTTATGTAAAAGTGTAAATCTGCATTTTATTACTCATGGTGTTATGTCAGTTAATAATATTTTGACAAATAACAACAATTCACGTATCTCATTTAAGAAACCTTTTACATAATATAAGGCCTATCTTAGAATAGAAATACATAAAAAACCGAATTCTTTTTTGTGAGGAAGATAAATCTTTGCTTCATTTTAGTTAAAAAAATCTTTTATGTCGGCCCTCCACTTGGCTTTTCGTTTTCGCTTTTTGTTAACTTGACATCAGTGTGACCTTTTAACTTTTTTAAAAGCATGATAAGGACAAGGTTGCCATGTTTACAAATAGCAAACACTAATAGCCAAGTGAAGTGCCGGCATTACACGAAAGAGATGCATTTACAACTAAATCGTAAACAATCTCTTTCATACGGGTAAATAAGCAATTTCACTTGAATTTCTATCGTCCATCCGTGCAGAGCAAAAGCTTACATACAGGGTGTAAAAAATCCTTTTACGAAGTCGAAGGCCACGTATTTTCCACATCATGACTATCATTTTTTCCTTCTGTACCAAACTTGGAAAATTTATGGTTATGGAGATATTGAAGGTCAAAGTCACAATTTTTTTTTCAAGATTTATCTGTAATATTTTCAAAACGTTATTTAGAAACTCTTTTATCGAAGCACTTACACACTCGCACACACATACACACAGGCACATTCTTTGCGTAGCGCCACAGTAGCGCGCCGCGCTATACATGCGTACCGGAAGAAATTGTATTTATTTAAATTTAAATACAAATGATTCCCACGTATAATATTTTGTAATATAACTTGTTTGGGTGTACAGAATGCGTAGTTTTAGTCTTTGTCATAGGTTTTTTTACATCCTGTATAGGTATGGATGTCTAGTGAACATTTAAGGCGATATTTGCTTGCACTAGTTGTTAATAGCTAATGCATTTTCCTTCCATTGTCAGCATTGAGTTCAAGCTGTAATCGACCTTCACGGTCAGGTTATCAATTTCTTTTTGATAAGAATATCGGGTTAACAATATTAGTAAATGAGGATAGCCGACATATTATCTTATCGGGTTCTTGTCCCTTAGGAGACAATAGAGCAGTTTTTCTGTATCGACTTGATTATGGTCTTTTTAAGAAGCATGTAGTACTTTATTTGAGATGAGATTATAATTTTATCTTTTCAAAGAGATATTTGTTATATTAGCCGGAGGTATATGAAAAAAACATGTAATATAAAAAACGTGTGCTGTGTTATTTATATATAAATATCTCTGAAAAGATAAAATTATATGTCACGTTTTAATAAAGTTTGAATATAAAGCAATTTTTACAGTCTCAAAAGCTGTGACTATCTGATAAGTAGAAAGTTGAGTGCGAATTCTGACTGAAATTCGTAGTTTAACGATATATGGCCTAAAAGTGATTAAAAATAAAGTATTTCGAATGTGGAAGTATTAATAAACTTTTGTATAAAATTATAATTTAATTTATGACTTTATATCATCTTTTAATTTGTTTTATAGTTTTTGAATATTCTGAAACCATGCAGTAACGCATTTTAATTGAATTTTATTACTTTGATTGAATATAAGATTGAAATTCAGTTAAATGAAAATCTCAGCATGCTGCTGTTATGT